GTATGGGGTTGGGAGGGGGTCAAAATTCTGTGAGGGTTCTTCTTTATCATGCTGTTTAGCTGTCGCAGGCCACAATGCAAAATTCATACCAGTAGTTAATTGGCGTTCTATGGGTAACTTCTATTTTTTTCAAGGGACACCTCGATAATATGTCTTATGTCAATGCTGTGCAACGATTTTTCCATGTTTTTATTATTGTTTTCGCTTTTGTTCTTATTATTTAAGATATATCAACTGTTCGTTTTGGTAAAAAAAAAAAAAAAAAGAAATCCTGGGGAAAAAGACAATTTCCCATACTTAATACCAATGGTTAATGAATCCTTTCCGACATTTAAAGTTGCATGTAGTCCCCAGCCCCACCCCGAGAGTGGCCATCTATGGAGGTCACGCGGTCCGATGGCAAGCAAATATTCTAGAATAATTGCTATAACGGTGGTTTTTGGTGGCAATAAAGAATTTATTATATTTCGCTTAGTTGTTTACAGTGTATCTTTGGTGGAATATGGATTTCTTATGACGTGTTGTTTTAGAAATAGACTTACAGATAAAGGTACAATTCATGGGTTTGAAAATCCCCCCAAATGCTTATTTTTGAAAAACCTTACAGACACTTCAAAAACGATTTAAATATATATGTACATTTTTTCTGGTTCGGAGCGTTCTTGATGTTTATAGGCCCTACTGTAGGCGTATTTACAGCGTATAGGAAGATGGTCGCTGGTTATATGATTGGCCAGTCATTTTAAACTAAATCGACCTTTATAAAATTAATGGTTGAGTTCAAGTGCAGAGGGGGATAGATTAATGACCCATGAAACGAGAAAATTGCTTATTTCTCCGGGAAAATCCATTTTGGCGGAAAATTCCAATATCACAATGTCTTCTTCTCACCTAACACAGTGATGTAGATATCGCAGAGAAATGACCCGGAAGTTCAACCTCAGCCAATCACTGCTGTCTATGACGCACAACGTGGGCTCTTTAAAACTGAGAAATCTGTCTCTCAAGTACTTCATCAAATATGTCAACTGCAACAAATTACAGCGTTTTAATTTTAGTAATGATACTCGCAGCGAGTGTAGGGAAGTCACAGGGTCTTTTTGAGTGGCTTTTTGGGGGCGGACAAGCGCAGGGAGAAGAAGGGAAGCAAGTTGAAGTGGGATCGCTCTTGAAGACGAATCGACAGGTGCCTTTTGAAATGGCGACGGTGGATGAGAAGTTTTTGATGGAGGTCGCAGGACTGAAGCTGTCGCAGTTAGACTTGTGTCATCATGAGGTTAGGTGGTTTATTTTCTTTTCTCTCAAAACATAAAATGAATTATGACATCGTGGAATTTCACGGGAATGGCATTGCTAAAAAATCTTCCAACTTACATGAGAGCTGGCATGCCCAGACTTGTTTTTATTTTTATTTTATTTTAATTTATGCTGGGGGGGGGGGGGGGGAGCTACCGTCGGCATAAAGATTGTAAAATAAAATAAATAAATGATAAAAAGGAAAGTTAAAATTATATTTACAATTCATAGACAAAATAGATCAAATTAAGTATAAATGATGAAATTAATAAGCCATGTTGATAGCAGGATTTTACATGTTACATAATAATTTCAGATTGTTGGTAAGCTGAGGACTAGTTGTGGGGGTATGTCAGAGGACGACCTCGGCAAGCTGTCTGTGATGCTGTTTAACTGCCAGGCAGAGAATGAGGGCAGAAAAACATATCCCTGCACCGAGGATATGGTACATATATTATCAATTCTCTCTCTTTCTCTCTCTCTCTCTCTCTCATATCTGTGTCATAAATGAATAAATTGGAAAATTCATTTTATTAAATTGGGCTTTTGGGTTTAAAGATACATACAAAGTCAATTTTTTTGTCACAAAAACCAACTAAATGCCAGCATATAGTTTCAAGTAGTATAACTAAGAGAATTACCAAAAGACATTGTTTAATTTTACCCGAAAATGATGTTTGAACAGATTTTTCTGCTGGCATTCTAAGCTGTATGTCAATGGGGCTGGAAAGTAGGTCACGTAAGTAGGTTAAATTTACAACCATAAATTTAAAGAAAGGAGCAGTCTAAAGGTATTTTATGGCTGATCGAGTGATCTATTCAGTTTATCCCTTTGCATGTCAAATTTATTTGAGTCATATAAGAATCTAGTAGAAGTGGTTTACATGTGTTACTGGGAATCCACAATCCACCGATGCTCGGTTCGTATGTACCTTTAAGTTAAAAGTAAGTTTAGTTGAGAAGCCCCCCCCTCAGAAATAAAAAAAAGTAAAATAGTAATGATAATAAAGAAAAGTAGAAAAAAACATTTCATTGAATCTGAATAGAAGCTGAGGTACTAAGGACAATTGATTCACTAAATACTGTCATATTTTGAAAAATGTATACAGGGATAGTGTACATTTTATCTTTCTTCAGACTCTTTCAAGTTGCACCAAAGACATGGACTCGACGACATGGAACGCGTATCAAATTGTCAGCAACAGGGCCAGGGCAATATGCTACACTGCTCGACAGCAACAGTTCCGACTTAAAACAGAGTCCACCGTCAACAAACTTGTGACCACCGCCAACATTCAGCTTGACTCAATGAAACAGTTACAGGTAGGGAAGTGGGGT